AAAGATAAACTTAAAAATGATAATAAAGACAATCTCCTAAGATCAGCATTATTGTTCCTCCCATTTATCAAGTAAGAAATCGCAGGTTAAGTCACTGACGAGGGCCCACAGCCAAGAGGCACTGACCTGGAATCCGGCCTTCAAACATTGCACCATTCTGATAGGTCAAGGTCAAGTGGCAAAAGATCTTAACACTCAAGCCTAAGAGGCGAGATTTTGTCAGCTATGGGGGAGCCATGAAGTGTTCTGGAACATATGTGGGTCATCATCATATGTTCTTGGGGGAAAATATTTAGAGTATATTAGAGGCAAGAGAGGAGAGGCACCAGACCAATCAAAAGCCACTACCCTAAGCCAGATCTGGGCAGGACAGGGGGAGAGAGAAGGAGAGAATGTATCCATAAGACATTTTAGAGGCAGGATAGACTTTGTCACCAAGGGATAGAATCAAGATGGCTAAAAATTTGGGTCTGGGTGCCGAAGAGAGCAATAATATTAATAGAAAAGGGGTTTGGCCGAAACCGGTGGGGCTCAGTGGTAGAGCGTCGGTCTGCGGACTGAAAGGTCCTGGGTTCGATTCCGGTCAAGGGCATGTACCTTGGTTGCGGGCGCATCCCCGGTAGGGGGTGTGCAAGAGGCAGCTGGTCGATGTTTCTCTCTCATCGACGTTTCTAGCTCTCTATCTCTCTCCCTTCTTCTCCGTAAAAAATCAATAAAATATATTTTAAAAGAAAAAAAAAAAAGAAAAGGGGTTTGGGAGAGGAAGTGGAGGGGAAATGAATTCATATTTGACCCTGTTGTCTCTTTTACCCCATCCCTCTCAACACAGCTGACAGCCAGCACTCTGGATTAAGAGCCCAGCAGTGCCCTAGTACTTCCCAAGTATCAGTTAACGCATTCGAACACCATGAGGATGCTTGAAGGTTCACTATTGACCCCATTTCACAGACAAGGAAACTGAGGTGTGGTCCACTCATGTTGCTTGCCCACGTTGCACTCGGTACACAGTGGGCGGCCCAGCGGTGTGGCTGACCCATTTCCCCTGGGTACAAGGCCCCGTCCTCTCACTGGCAGCTCTCGCTCACGCCCGGGGGCCCTGACACGGGGAGATAGGCACTATCACTTGGTGACAGAGCCTATCAGCCACCCTGCTCTGGGCTGGCAGGGCCTGGCATGCCTTTGTTCTATAGGAGATGGCTGACTTCACCTCCGTCCTTAAAGGGGCATTACACTCCAAGGCAGGTTGACCTGCTAAGCCAGTTCCTTCCAACGATACCAAAATAAGCACTTCTATGGCACTTTCCTGTGCCAGCCATTTTCCCTAAATATTAACAGGTTACTAAGATAACTTTTAATTTACTGACATTAACTTGGTATGAGTTCACTTGGTCTGCTGAAGAATGGTATTATACTAAAACAGCCACACAGAGAAGGGTTTCCAGCTCCCCCTCCCAGGTAGGATATAATGACTTAGACTTGATTTCGGGGAACTGAAGAGAAGGACACAGGTCCTCAGCGTAGGGCTGGTGCAGTGGTCGGCAAACTCATGAGTCAACAGAGCCAAATATCAACAGTACAACGATTGGAATTTCTTTTGGGGGCCAAATTTTTTAAACTTAAACAATATAGGTAGGTACTTTGCTAATAACTTAATTAGGGTACTCCTAAGCTGGCCCTTGCTAAACACTCAAGGGGCCAAAGAGCCGCATGTCGCTCGAGAGCCGACCACCGGGCTGGTGACTCTCCTCAAACGTAACCCATCTGTGCAAACGGCCCCTGGGTCAGGATACTTTCTCAGTGCCCCGGATGGCCCCCAATGACTGCGTGTTTTTCTCAAATGCCGACGTAACTGGTATTCTGTCTGCAGTACGTAGGTACCAACAGCAGATTCCTTTTGCCAATCCATCCACATCCCATTATGAGATTGAAAGGTTAGTGTTTACTTTAGCAGCGATCTGCAACTCGGGGAATCAAAGGCTTACAGGAATGCAAACGTCCCTTACCTGTCTCCTCTCCTTCCATGACACTGAAAACACAGGGGACGCAGGCCAAGGCGCTGGGCCCCATTTCAAATGGAGGCTCCGACCCTGCCGCTCCCGGCAGGCTCCAGGCTCCAGGCTCTAACCAGCTGGTGAAAAGAGGAAGTTCCTGGCCAAGGATTCCCCTCTGCCTGGTTCTGCCACGTTTTCCAGGCCTGAGGACAGGCTAGCAACTTCCTGGTCCCAAGTGTGTGTGTGTGTGTGTGTGTGTGTGTGTGTGTGTGTGTGTGTGTAGGGTGTGTGTGTGTGTATGGTGTGTGTGTGTGTGTGTGTGTGTGTGTATGGTGTGTGTGTGTGTGTGTGGAGGGGTGTGTGTGTGGAGGGGTGTGTGCACCCTGGTCTGAGAGCCCAGCACCCCAAAACAGTCACGGTGCTGGCATTGATCCCGTGCTCACGATGCGTTCATCCTACTCCATCCTCCTGACACCCCGATGAGGTGAGGACCACGATGGTCCCCGGTTACAGATGAGGAGCCTGAGACGCAGAGAGAACAGGCGTGCACGGGGAGGCCATGCACCCGGCCTGGGCTCGCACCCTGGCGTCTCCGATGCCCAGACTCTGGGCAGCCACGCCGGGTCCTTCGGAGGAGAAGCAGCAGAAGGAAGTGTGCCTCCTCCTCCATGGGGCGGACCACAGGCCCCTCCATGGGGCGGACCACAGGCCCCTCCATGGGGCGGACCACAGGCCCCTCCATGGGGCGGACCACAGGCCCCTCCGGGGACTGGGGGTCGGTGGGCCGCAGCCCCCGCTCTCTGTCGCCTCCAGCGTGGCCACAGGGCAGGCCGGTGCCGGTCGGCGGGGTCTCCACCGGAGCCATCGATGCTCTTCCTCCCCGGAGCCGGCAGGTTCTCTCTGAGTCCAGGAGCTCGGAGCGTCGTGCCAGGGCACATGGTGGGGTGCGCTGTGCCCTCACCGCCCAGCGCCGGCCCACCGCGCTCCTCCGGCCTCGCTGAGGAAAAGGTTCCAGCGCAGCAGCTGACCCCGAACAGCGCGGGTGTGAACGGCGGGGGCCCACTGCCATGCACGCGGCTGTGGTTTTGTTTTCCCCCCAGAAATGCAGGGCGGCCCCTTCGTGTCCGCGAGGTTTCGCATCCGGGGATTCCACCGCCCGAGGGTCCAAAACAGCAGCGTCACACGTGCAGCCGCAGATTCGCCACCGCGTGTGGCTTCCGCCCGCTGCGTGTGTGCTTCGTTCCCAGGGGCGTGCGGTTTGGCGAATCTGCGGAGCTGCGTGTGCGAAGGGCCGCCTGTGGAGGCTGAAGTTATGCTGGGTTTCCTGGGGGGGAGCACCCTTAGCCCTCGTGTTGGTTGAGGATCACCTGTGCCTGCTCGCTTTCGGCCTTTCCTTCCGGGCTTTTTGTTATTTGCACTTCCCAGTGGTTTCACCCTGGGGTGCTCCCTGCACATCATTCTCCCAGCCGCTGTGTGGACGGCGACACCCTTTTTGGAAATGCACCTCCTTGTTTGTTTTTTTTAGTTCACAAATCAGGTCTTAAAGTCCAGGAAGTCATTTTTGGGTTTCGCTCGTGCTTCCCCAAGTTTTGCTTGTTTTGGCATTCGTTTAATGTAGTAAACCAATGCTCGGGCTTTAAAAATAATGAGATCATACACTGCTATGCTATCAAAATAGATCCTTGTACCACGTTACAGTTGAACGTGAATTCCTACTCTTGTCCAGTTGAAGTTTATGATGTGTGTGTCCCTTATGCATTGTGAGCACGTGATAAATGTCAGAGATCATCAGACCCTTAGCTTCAGAGGTCATCAGACCCTTAGCGTGTTGCCAGAGAATCTTGGGCTGAAAGCTCTTGACCTGTCTATGTGCTTAAGCATGTGTGTGAGTGTGCGTGCCAATGTGTATGTGCATGGATGCATGGGAGTGTTTTGCCTGTTCATGTATACGTGTGCGTATGTGTGTGCAATGTAGGTGCCACTTGAGTGTCTGTGTACCCACCTATGAAGACACAACAAAACACATATTTACTTATTAAAGACTCTGTTAAAAGATGTTTCAGGGTAATTCTAACCCATGTATAACTAGAGAGGGGGGGGGAGCACATCTTTTTTGTCAAGGCAATAAATGGTTCTTGAGTTTGTGCCTCCAAAATGGATTTTTTTTTTTTTTTTTTTTTTTCACCGAGAAGGAAAGTGAGTGATGACTGCTGCTTACCGAGAACCCGCCTGGCCCATAGTGAGCTCGGTTGGCAAGTGAGTTATTTCTTCAGTCAGCCAACAAGTGTTTGTTGAGCAGTTGCTTTGTGCCGGTCATGGGCGGGGAGCCAGGGAGAAATTGGTGAGGACCCTGCCCTCTGGAGCTGTCTACTGACACTGAACAACAACAACAAAAAAGTAAGTGAATTCAGCTCACTCTGTAGTGCCTAGTGCATTAGCGGGTGAGAAATGCTGTGGAGAAAACAGAGAACAGAGTGCAGGGTGGGAATGGCCATTTTAATCAGGTGGTAGGGAGGTCTCACTGAGCAAGTGACATTGGAGCCAAGATCTGAGGGAGGAGAGGAAGGGAGCCTTGCAGGTGTCGGATGGAAAAGGATTCCAGGTAGAGGGACCTGCAGGTGCAAAGGCCCTGCAATGGGACCCGTGCCTGATCACGTGAGACTTCTAATCCCCTCTCCCTGCCATTTTCCATCTCAAAACTGACAAGCACAAGTGCCGCCGGCCCCAGTGCTGCAGAAAGCATCTCTCCCCGTGACCCAGCCGCCTGCCTCTTTAACCTTGAATGCCTTTTTGGGTCTCAAGTGTCACCAGGTGTCGAATGAGCTGCCCTTACTTCAGAAGAACGGCAAGGGGTGGGGGTGAGGGGGAGGGGGGGTGCTTACCTATTGACTGCCAAAAGTGGTCATGCAGTTATTTTTAAACAAGGGGAGGAAGTATTTATTGTTCGGGCGAGGAGAGTGGGAAGCCTGTGGGATTCTTCTAGGGAACCAGCGCGGAGTCCTTTCCACCATGGTGAGTAGCCAGGGCTCCCGGGGGGTGAGCAAAGCTGGGTGGGTGAGAAGGGGACACCATCTATAAGCAAAGGACTGAGGGGGCAGGAGGGGGTGGGGCGGTGGCTTTTGAGGATCCCAGGCTCCGATGGGGAGAGAGCTGCTGGCTGTAGGCGCACAGAGGAACCCCAATCAATGCCCTGATAAGCCACAAATAGCAGCAGCTCCCGGGGACTTGCAAAAACAAAATTAGAGAGTTGGCTTTTTTATGGCTTGTCTCCTGACCTCCGGAGGAATCAATAACTCCCAGGGCTTGCAAAATGGGACTGAACGCTTCTAAGGATCAAATTGTAATTCTTTTCTCTTGTTCGGGCAGCTGGGGAAAAGATCTTTTTGTTCTCACCTTTTGAACTTGCAAAATTAAAACCTTTTTCCAGGCGCAGTTCGGGTAGGTGTCCCCCTCCCGAAGCTGGAAGCCCCCACATTAGGGCCAGCATAGGAGAGAGGTCAGGAGCACAGACCCTGGAGCCACACTGCCCAAGTTCAATGCCAGCTCTGCATTTTGCTCTGTGACTATGTGACCTTGGGCAAGTGACCCAACCTCTCTGAGCCTCGGTTGCCTCCCCAGTAAAAAGGTGACGGTGATAACAGCATCTACTTGATAGAGCAGTTATGAGGATTAAATGAAATAATGTATGTACCAGTGTTTAAGCTGTAACTATTTAAAGTCGTCTTTGCACTGTCTGTGTGGTGTAAGGCTGGAACATTTAGAGAGGTTTCGCTGCCATTTGGATCAGGGGAAATTGTGTGTGTGGAGGGGGGAGTGATTGGGTTTTAACACCCTGAAAAAAAGTGTCATTTCATCTCCACATTCCTCATGGTTAGTGAGCCGGACTCCCGCCCCCAATCAATGCTCCTGCTGTGCGTTACTGAACTTTTTGTGAAATGCCTTGGAACAAAAGCGCTGGACCCTGCAGGGGCTGATCTGAAAGCATGGCTCCATCCCCAGAGACACACCTCTCCTAATTTTAAAATATTTTTAAATATGTTTTATTGATCTCAGAGAGAGGGAGAAATCATCCATCAGCTGCCTCCTACACGGCCCCCCCCCACCCCCCTCTTACTCGGGAACCTCGCCTGCAGCCCAGGCATGTGCTCTCACTGGGAATCAAATCACCACCTCCTGGTTCATAGGTCGACACTCAACCATTGAACCACATCAGAAACCCGCCGAGCAAGTTTTTAAAAGGAACCTCCCCCAAGATCCTCACTCTCTTACGATCCACCAGAACCAGGGGGCCTTTTAGAAATGTCATGTTGTGTCTTTTTATCCCTCCAACATCACTGTTTTGAGAGGAATGTGGACACCCTACCCCCATTTTACAGATGAGCAGTGAGGCTCTCCCAGAGACAGGGCCTGAGCTAATTTTCTAACTTCTGACTCTTTTAATCGATGCCTTTCCCTCACTCTAGGCACCCAAGAAAGCCAAGAAGAGAGCAGAGGGCGCCAATTCCAACGTGTTCTCCATGTTTGAACAGACCCAGATCCAGGAGTTTAAGGAGGTGGGTGCAGCCGGGGAATCATTAGCCTGGAGGCAGATTCCCACCCTTCGGGGAGCACCTTCCCCTCATTCCATGTTCCTCATGGGAACCTTGCTTAGATGTCTTTAGCTTCCAAACAACCCCAGATTTTTAATAACTTTTGCTAATCATCAAAGTAAAGCTTTTGTTGTTGAAAATGTAGGAAAATTTTCATAACACATAAATGACCTATAATTCTACAACCCAGAGGTAGATTATCAGTTAACATTTGGGTATACAGCTTTCTAGTCATCTTTGTTTTACATATATATATATATATATATATATATATATATATATGTATTTGTATATGTATATGTATACACACATATATATATATATTGGTTAAACAATATATATTGGTTAAATACAGTCTTCTGCATCTGCCAATGAGTGTCTGCTAATTTTCTTTGAGCAATTCAGTATCAATATTTTCTATCATTTATTTAAACCACTTCCTACAATGGAATGTTACATGTGTTTAGAATGTTTTATTTTTTCATAAGTAACACATTTCTGCTTGTATCTTTGGTTATTTCCTTGGAGTAAAATCCTAAAAGCAGGATTGCTAGGTCAAAGGAATTAAATACATACATACATACCAGCCCTGGCCTAGTGGTTCAATTGGTTAGAGCGTCCTGAACACCAAAAGTTTGCTCGTTCAATCCCCAATCAGGGCACATGTGGGAGGCAACCAACCAGAAGTTTCTCTCTCGCATTGATGTTTCGTTGGTCTAAATTGTCCTCCAGAAACGAGATGCTAATTCCTACTCCCATTGGCCCCAAGAGGAAAAAGTGCTTTTTTTCTCTCACATCTCTGTCAACATTGGCCAATAGTCTAAAATCTTTTGCCAATCTGAGAGATGAAACCAATATCTTTTAGATTTCAAATTTTACAGTCCTCGATTGCTGAATACCAGTGAGATCTGAAACCCTATCACATTCCACGGACTGTGCCTTAGGAAGCAACTAAGTACCCATCAGGCAACAGGAAGCCACCGCCTGAAGGCTTTGAAGGACAGACAATTAATTGTTTTTCCAGCAGTTGTGATTGGCTCACGCTGAGTCACCCACGCTCCCAACCCTGGCCCTTCAGAGGAAAACATGCTAAGCTTTGCTAATGAGGCCAGTGTGTTTTATACCAAAGGGGAGACCACCGGGATGTCCAAATGGCATGTGCACACCCGGACCTTTTGTCCCCACTAACATTCCATCACAGGAATGTTGTGTCCCACAGGTTACCAGGGAGCGAGGAATTCCTGGGATGAAATGTCACATCTGAACTTAAAATAGTCACCTTCCAAGAAGAAAAAGCCACCACCCCTCTCCTTCACCCCATCCCAACCTCTGAGAGGAGATCAGCTGCTGGAGGTGGGGACAAGGGACATGGTTCCAGCTGCTGCAAAGAACTCAAAAAAACCCAGAGTGATGACATGTCATTTATAAAACCCTTGGCCATTTACACAGCTCTTGGAGTCGCCCTGCTAGCTAGCTGAGAAAGCCCGCCGGCTCTCTTTGACAGACAATGTGGGCTGGCGAGTCGGGGGGCAGACACGAGAACCTAGTTTTTAACTTTTCTTTTCCAATAACAGTATTCTATAGAAAAATAACTCACGTACCACACATTGGCATTTTAAAAGTAAGTGTAAAACAGTTCAGGGGCAATTTAGTACAGTCACGAAGTTTTGCAACCATTATCCCTATCTGATTTCAGGACATTTTCATCACCCTCGAAAGCAAGCTCATACCTGTTAGCAGTCACTCCACACGTCCCTCTTCCCCAGCCCCGAGTGGCCGCTGGTCTATTTTCTGTCTCTATGGACTCGCCTACTCGGGACATTTCATAGAAATCGAATCACACAATATGTGGCCTTTTGTGCCTGGCTTCTTTCACTTGGCATCGTGCTTCAAGGCTCACCTATATTGTAGCCCCTGCCATTATTGCCTTCCTTTTTTATGGCTGAATGGTATTCCGTTGTATATCAGGGATGGGGAACCTTTTTTTTTTTTTTTTTTTTTTGCCAAGGGCCATTGGGATATTTATATCATCATTCACTGGCCATATAAAATTATCAACTTAAAATTAGAAATTAGCCTGCTATATTTGGTCCAACATTTAGTTAACTCACCCCTAATGCCTTGTCAGGGCCAGGCCAAATGATTTTGAGGGCCTTATATGTCCCGCAGGCCCGATGTTCCTCACCCCTGGCATAGATAGACGACATTTTGTTTACCCATCCATCCATGGATGTGGGCTGTTTCCAGTGTGGGGCTATACTGGACATGCTGCTAGGGACATTCATGTTCAGGTTTCTGGGTGGGCAGATGTCCTAATTCTCTTGACTGGACGCCTGCCAGATAAGTTTCTGGATCATACGGTAACTCTGTGCCTAATATTTTGAGGAACTGCCAGATTGCTTTAAATCTTTGACTCTGGACTTAGTGTCCTTCAATGTTCCTTGAAAATTCCAGAGTCCCACTTCCCCTACCCCGTGGCCCAGACTCTTGGGCTCCTGCCCCCCGATTTTTCCTGAGCTGACCAGCCAACCACCTCCTTCCACAGGCCTTCACCATCATGGACCAGAACAGGGATGGCTTCATTGACAAGAATGACCTGAGAGACACCTTTGCTGCTCTTGGTACGTTGCCCCTCTAGGCCTGCAGGAGGGTCCATCCCACATCCAGGAGGGCCAGGAGGTGGGGGCCATTGAAAAGGTGATGAGCTTGCCATTTTCCAAAGAGACAGCTCAACCATGATTGACCTTCAAGACAAATTTCAGAGGACAGGAAAGAAGAGTTTAACTATTGAGTGTCCTCATATCTTTTCTTTTCTTTTTAATACTTTTTGTGTATGTGATTTGAATGCAGTGCCAGCTCACAACAGAAAACTTGGAAAATTAAGTATAAAGGAGAAAACAACCATACCCATTAGGCCACACCCACTGTTAACATTTCAGCCTCTCAGTCTTCTCTAGGTTTATTGGAGGGGGAGGTTAATCATTGGAATCATCTATTTTGGATTCAGCTTTTTTTAAATGTACATTTCAAATGTGAGCAAAAGTGCACGTAGGTTTTTCATAACATACTAGAGGCCCAATGCATGAAATTCTTGAGCAAGCCTTTCTTCCCCTGGCTGCCATCACTGGCTTCCCTCCGGCACCCAGACTTCCCTTGTAGAAGCCCACTGGCCAGTGACCTGGGCCTCACTCTATGGGGCAATCATGGGCGATGGCTTGTGCCTCCAACCAACCACATTGCACCCACCTTGGCAAGCCTGGTGCCAGTGGGTGCCATAGGGTGGCCCCGGTTGGTTGTCTGGATGGTCATCTGGATGGTCATTCCACTGTTAAGCCATTTGGTCGATTTGCATATTATTCTTTTATCTAGAGGCCTGATGCACAAAGATTTGTGCAAGAATAGGCCTTCCTTCCTCTGGCTGCTGGCACCGACTTTGCTCTAGCCCAGAGCCACCTTTCTGCCTTTGCTCTGGCCAGAGCTGCCTTCCACCTCTCACCTGACTGTGTCAATTTGCATATTCCCTCTTTATTAGATAGGATATGTCCCACCTGCCACCATGCACCCCCCCCCACACACACACACATTCTGATCCCCAGAGCTCAGAGTCACTGTGAACAGCAGTACAGGTTCTGCACTGCACAGTTCGACAGGAGACTCTTCATGTTTGTAGACATTGTGGATTTTTATATTGAAAACATAAATTATCTTGCCCTGGCCAGTGTGGCTCAGTTGGTTGGAGCATCATCTTATATACTAAAAGGTTTGATACCCAAAGACAACCAATCCATGTTTCTCTCTCACATCAATGTTTCTCTCCCCCAACCCCCTCTAAAATCACTAAGCAAATCCTTGGGTGAGGATTAAAAAGAATAAAAATAAATTAAGACGGGGTATCTTTTTCTAATTTGTGCGAAGGTCCTATAAAGGCCTGCGGCAAGGACTAGCGTGGGGAGGGGTGTCAGAATCTCCAAGGCTGCCTGGGTCACAGCAGTACCCAGAACAAGTACCCTCCAAGGACTCTGACCTGTCTCTCCCACCTCCGGCTGAGAAGGGCCAGTTTATAAGATGACCATTTCCCATTAGAGTAAAATATTAAAATATCTGTATAAAATGTTCCAGGTTCTAAAGACACTGTTTTAAATATAACTAACCCCTGCTACATAAGAGTTTTGCCTGGCTATTATAAATAACACTGTCAGGAACATCTTCTCACGTGAATCTCTGGCGGGCCCACTCTGATTATTCTTAGACTGGATTCCCTGAAGTGGGATTACAGGGCAAATGCCAGTGTGCTGTGCGTTGGGAGGCCCTGAGTCTGTGTTTCCCTTCCTAGGGCGTGTGAACGTGCAAAATGAGGAAATCGATGATATGATAAAGGAAGCCCCAGGTCCCATTAACTTTACGGTCTTCCTAACGATGTTTGGGGAGAAACTTAAGGGTAAGCTGGTGTGCCTCTGTGTGTGTGTGTGTGTGTGTGTGTGTGTGTGTGTGTGTCTGTCTGTCTGTCTGTCTGTCTGTCTTTATGTGTGTTCATCTTTGGGTATGAATTAAAGCACTAGGAGACTAGACAAGGATTGTCAGAAGACATAGGCAGAGTAACATAAAGGCAGGGGGAGGTGGGGAGAGGCAGGGAGGTGGGGATAGGGGTGAAGAATAAAAACAGCAGCTAGCCCAGCCGGCATGGTTCAGTGGTTGAGCATTGAGCCATGAACCAAGAGTTCACCAGTTTGATTCCTGGTCAGGGCACATGTCTAGGTTTTGGGCTCTATCTTCAGTAGGGGGCATGCAGGAGGCAGCCAATCAATGCCTCTCTCTAAAAAAACAAAAAAAACAAACAAACAAACAAAAAACGAAGATAGCAGCTAATGTTGCTCCAAGGCACCCACACTTTGTAAGCATCACCTCACTTAACATCACTTCGGAGTGGGTTCTGTTCCGCTCCCCTGTCTGTAGATGGGGACTGAGGCTCAGAGAAAGTCACACAATTAACAAGTGCTGGAGTCAGGATTTGAATCCCAGTCTTTCCAAATCTAGATCCACCTTTGATCTTGAGTTTTGCTAAAAATATATATAATTTTCTGGCAGGTAGCAGTAAGGTGCCTCGAAGAAGGGACACTTAATACTTTGCCAAAGGTCCTAATAAAAAAAATAATAATAACTGGATTCTTAACCCACTCTTTAAAAAATATCAAGGTTCAGTGCTCAGAGGAAGGCAAGCAAGATAGCCTTTGCCCTGGCCCCCCATCCTGGGCGGAGGGGGGCTCAGGTCCTGCCTCCTGGGGTCCAACCGGTTCCAACTACCTCTCAACCGTTTCCTGTTTCAGGGGCAGACCCAGAAGAGACCATTCTCAACGCATTCAAAGTGTTTGACCCCGAAGGCAAAGGGGTGCTGAAGGCTGATTAGTGAGTGGGGTCTGTGGGGGAGGACGTGGAGGCTCCCTGCTTCCCACGCACACACCTTGAGCCAACACCTGCTTCTCTCTCTCTGCAGCATTAAGGAGATGCTGACCACACAGGCGGAGAGATTTTCCAACGAGGAGGTAACAGGGTCCTTGGGATGCTCTCTGCAGCCCAGCTCCTGGCATCACCCTTCTGGAGACTCCATCTTCCTCTTTTCTAAAACACCCCTGACCCGCACTGAGATAGAACCTGCCATTGCTTACTGAGCCCTTATTCCATGCCGTTCTCTCAATCGCCCCACGAGGTCAGAACTAGTATTATTGCCATTTTATAGATGGAAAAACTGAGGCCCAGGGAAGTAAAGTCACTTGCCTAACAGGACAACACTGATGGCAAATGCAGATGGTACCTCCCTCACAATGCAGGGAGCCCTGGTTAGAGCACAAATCTCCTAATGGAGGAAGAGCAGCGTGCAGGTACCACGGACTGTCATGTAGGCTCCACACTACACAATTCTCCTGGAAGCTGTTCTTATAATATTCACTGAGTGGCCAGATTATTATGATCTCTGAATGCATAATAATCTGGCCACTCAGTGTGTATAAACATATATTAGAGGCCCAGTGCATGAATTCGTGCCAGGGTGGGATCTGGCCAGCCTGGCCAGGGGGAGGGGACATGGACAGTTGGCCGGCCTGCCTGCTGGTTGGATTCCTGTGCAAGGGGATAATTTGCATATTAGCTTTTTATTATTTGGATATACACTGAGTGGCCAGATTATTATGCATTCAGAGATCATAATAATCTGGCCACTCAGTGTATATCAGAGTGTGTATTTGTTGCAACAGTTTTCCAGCAGATGGCAATCAAATGCCTTTACATATATATTTTAATCAGAATATATAATTTTCTGGCAGATAGCAATAAGATGCCTGGAAGAAGGGACACTTAATACTTTGCCAAAGGTCCTATATGACCCAGCAGCAGTCCTATCAATATTATTAATGTTCCCTAAGGAGTCTATTTAAAACTAGAGGCCTGATGCACGAAATTTGTGCAAGGGGCTTGGCCTTCACAGCCGCGGCGGCTTGCCTCGGCCCTCACAGCCCCAACCCTTGCAGCCCCAGCTTTGCCTAGAAGGTCACCCAGAATGTCATCCGGAAGGTTGATCAGCCGTCTGTCTGGTCTAATTAGCATAGTGCCCTTCTATTATTATAGATAGTCCCTGCTCAGTCCTGATTCTATCAAATTCCACATTTTACTAAAAATTCTATTGAGATTTTCCTCTCCAAAACTTAAGCAGATAAAAGAGCCTGCCTTCACCTTTGGACCTGCTCTTTAACCTCCCTGTGCCTCAATATCCTCATCTAAAAAGTGAAGACAATAATAGAACCTACCTGATAGAACACTGTGAGGGTTAAACAAGTTAGTGTGAGTAAAGTGCTGACATGTGATAAAGGTAATGTTATCACGTGTTAGCTGTTAGTAGCCAGTATGGTTTTTTAAGATAACTAGCCAATATTTTAAGTGTGTGGAAACTGCATTTTTTTTTTTTTTTTTAGTCTAGATTTCTAGACTCAGATTCCCTCAGAGTCTGATCTCTTTAACCACGTGGCCATAAACAACTGGCCCTGAGCAGTTGCTACTTTTGTAGGTGGCCCGTGTGTCCCCATTTAGCCATAGTCCCCACCAGGCCCACGTTCCTCCCTTACATAACCTGTCCAGCTTTTTTGCACATTTGAGGGTGTGATACCTGTTTTACTGTCTCAGGTTGGGTTCTGGGGGACATCCCTGCAGAGTGGCCCTTGGGGTCAGCACCTGGGAAGGAATTGGGCAAGGAAGCAGAAGGGTTGGAGGGAGATGTTGACCCAAGATTCAGGCCCGAGTGGTCGATACTCCCTGTGGCTAGAATAGCCCTTCCGAGAGGTCCCGAGCTGGGCCCACGCTAACCAGTAGGCTATGGGCCGCCTCAGGAAGGGCGTGACCTTGGGTCCTGCAGCTCTGCAGCAGCTGGATGACAAGGCCTTCCTGGAGGGGGTCTAGTGATGCATCTCCACATCTACTACCCCCCTGACACGAACCCTCACCATCCTATCCCATCCCATGATCCCCACTGCCTCTCCACTCAGGCCCGTCTCTCACACAGCCCTCCTTCCTTCTTCCCCTCCCATCATCCTCTGCATCTCTTGCTGGTTCATTGCAGATTGACCAGATGTTTGCTGCCTTCCCCCCTGATGTGACTGGCAACCTGGACTATAAGAACCTGGTGCACATCATCACCCATGGAGAAGAAAAGGACTGAGGGAGGGGCGCTCTGCCCCACCTGGGCTTGTCTTTGTGGGGAGAGGGAGTCCCCACTCTCCTATCACTTGGCCCAGGAAAGCTGCCATCCCTGCCCCTGGCCTGTTAGCTGTGGCTGCTCCATGTATCCACCTCCACCTTCTTTGCAGCCTGGGTGGCTTATCGACACCACATGACCACACATCCTCAGATGGAGATCCATGCAGAGGCCACGCCCAAATAAACAGGAGGTCGTGTATCTGCTCACGGTGTTTCTCTGACAGTAGTGCCTGGAGAATGGATGGCCCACAAAGGCAGTGCATAAGCTAGTGATGACCCTGCTGTCATTAGTATTGAATCTTAGTTGCTTTCTATTTAAAATAGACCTTTGCGGCCACTGAGCACTATTTCTTTCAGGGGCCACACTTTACTGGAATGTTCACTAGAGCTCAAGCAGTTGTAGAGCTCAAGCTTCCCTGACACCCTTTCCCCCAGGACACCAACGGAGTGCTTCTCCAACAAACGTGCTTACGCAGGCCCCGTGATGATTTAAGAGGAAGAGGCTGCACGTGCACGCTAAGAATATGTTCATTTGGAAAAAAAAAAATCACATCTGTTCATTGTAAGAGATCAATTTCTAATTTGAGATAAAGTAGAACTTGTCTACTTGTCTCTAGGAAGTTGGAGAATTGGTACTGATTTCCAACTCTGTCTGAGGTCCAGGAACTAGGCCTAGGCATGAATCGACTCTTGATTTTGAGTAATCAGTCATGGTTGAAGCACTCAGGTCTGTTTTGACTGTGAGAATACCAACTTAGGAAACAAATGGGTTCACGTGACTGAGAAGTCCCAGGGCCTCAGGCATAGCTGCACCCAGGTGCTCACACAGCGCCATCAGTACCGGAGGAGGCCTCTCCACTGCGCTGCTTTCTTTCCTGTTGCTCTGTTCTCCAAGGTAGCAACATGGCTCCTGTCCATCCCCTCAGCAATCTTACAGGAGAGATGGCACATCTCCTAGCTCCACACCCATCCCAGATGAGGGCCTTTGGGCTCTCTAACAAACCCTGAAACAGGTGGAGTGCTCTGACTGGCAGAGCTGGGTCACATGATTCACATTCATCTCATCCTGGGGCTAAAACCAGCCCCTTTCCCAAACACATGGCTCTTCCCCAGGGGAAAACCCAGCTGCCTTTTAGGAAGAAGAGTGAACATCAGACCCTCGTACGTTTTCAAGAGAACCCTAAGAGCTCAGGACACAGCCCAAGTGAATGATGGGATGGGAACCAAGAGCTAAAGTGGGGGTGGGAGTGGCAGCTGGAGCCACCTAGAAGGAATGACGGGGTCCAGGCAGTCAGAAGAGCCAGAACTGGAGAGTCTTCAAGGCTTAAGAATAACCACGAGCCCCTGCAAGAGCCCAGGGGCAGCCCCATCAGCGCGAATAATGACCTCAGCCTGGGCTGCGGGGAAATGGGGCCCCTTTCAAAGTCAACAGCAAGCTAGGCAGGCAAGGACCCAGGTGTGCCCACCATGTTCCACTCACTGCAATGACCCACATGCCTCATGCCCAGAACCTACTTCCTGGGGCTCTGCAGAAACACAGCCAGCTCCCGGGAAGGCCTGGGAGGGGCCCCAGCTCAGAACATTCAAGTGCAGCGTGTGTTTCAGGGCAAGACGGCCTGGTTACAGTTCTGCAGTGATATGTTCATCCAACACACACACACACACACACACACACATACACACACACACACACATACACACACACACGCACACACGCAGAGGTTCTGTGGCTCCCAGTTCTTATCTGTGAGTGGCTGCTGTACCCTCATGTGCTTCTGCGACGTGAAGTTAAATATTTTGACTTCCCCCTGGCCCCTACGCTTTACTCATTCCTGCTTCACCGAGTCGACATGACAAGAGGGGACCTGTGCTGGCCACAATCTCAGGTTCTCCGGGGCCAAGGTGGCCTCACACAGCTCTTGGATCCTGTACGGGCTTTAGACCTCAACCCCTCCTGCTCCTCTACCCTGTTCCGGGGTGGCTCCCAGCACCTTAGTCTCCTAGTAGTGAATGTGAAGAGGCAGTGGGGTTACAGAACAAAACATTTATTCCCTCCGGTTATAGTACACACGTGGCCCCACTCATGTCTACCTTCTCCTTGGACCTCAGGTCGTCCCCCTTTTCAGGGATGCTGTTTGAGATTCCCTCGCAGTGTTGTTGCTGATCACCATCTGCCGAAGGCTGCTGTGGTCCAGGGGGTGGTCCACTGTGCCAGAAGGGAGACTCGGGTGAAGAGTTTGAAAGTCGAACCCAGCACACTCCCCTTCCAGGGACAGTGCCTCTCTGCCCCATTCGTTGGTGCCCAAGGCAAGAATGTCCAACCCTGGTTTGGGTTCCTCCACAATGCTGGGGTTGGAGTATGACCATTCTTGGGGTTCAGGGAGGAAGAGGAGAGGCAGAGAGAGATGTACTGCTCAGGGATGCCCGGACAGTAACTGTTGTTTTCTTCCAGGTGAGTTTGGTTTAATCTCAAGGAGACAGGGCCACCCCATGTGCCATTGTTCAGGAGGTAGACTGCACAAGGATGCCAGGTGGAGATGAATAAATGAATGATGAATGAATGAATGGGCTGAAATCCAGCCCCTACTAGATTGCCAAAAGGGGCACCTTTTTCTAATTAATGTGCCCAGAGGGGGGGGAGGGTGTCACTTTTAATCCACACATGTGAGCCACAGAGGTGTGTGAGCTAAGAGAAGCCAATATCTATCAACATTCCCTTGAACAGAGAAGAAGACATCTACCTTCTATCTATGCCCACAAACCACCTCTTTCAGGAATTCAAAGGGCCAAGGGAAGCCGGCCTAAGGCGGCTGACACCAGACCCAGCTTTCACTCCTGCTAAGTTTCGGTTGCCTCGGCTAAATCAAACAGAAGGCGTGCCCACATGTGCCATGTGTGTTGGCAGGCCTTTCTAGCTGTCCCTGGCACCCCTGCACGCTTGAAATGCTCAGAGAGGCGGGGCAGCATTTTCAAAATCTACTTTGTTCTCTGATTACTAAAGTGACACAGGTCACTGTAAAAAACAACAACAAAAAAAAACTTTTAAAATACAGAATTGTTTAACTCAGAAATGTAAAGTTCTCTGCAAACTACCACCTAGAAATATTCACCATAAGTTGCCTCTACATCCTCTTTGTTCTCAACTTCCCTCCCTCCTCCTCCCCACCCTGCTCCTCCTCC